CCATATTTTTTTTTAGTTTTGCTTATATGCGCACTCAGTATTTTTGACCATTTAATAAATTTTGTTGCGAGTTACATTCGTTTAATAATCACTCGTCAACTTTTTTTTCCCTAAAGCGATCTAAAAAAAAATATTGCCATTACAGAACAGAAAAAAAAATTATGTTAGAGCCTCAATTGTTTCAATTGAAAACTTTCAATATGTGAACATTCAAATGTAATATAGAATTATATTGAAAGGAAACAAGTTACCAAAGGTATTACGGGTAGGTAGGTAACTGATTATATATAATAATGGCCTACATTCTACATACCTTCTATTTTCATTACTTCCGTTGAGGCACCACATTCTTCAAAATTGGTGCATAAAACAAAGAATGTTAAAAGGAATATTAAGACACACTTCATTCTGTTTGGAGCTTCTTCAGTCTTGCCAAAAAGTTTTCCTAAAACTCGGTGACTGATTAAAAATGAGTAGCTGGAATTTCAGTATAGATAATTTTAATGGCTACTATAATCAGTTACGATCACAATTAAAAAAGTTGAAATGCTCAAGTTAATTGTACGTCATTTTGATGCTTGAAAAATAATGGCAACATGTAACAATCACAAAAACAACTATTTAGCTGCATTTTTCAGAAGTTAATGATGAGATAGGAGAGCATTCAAACGAGAATGTACGTTTGATATGATTCCTTTAGAATCTTTCAGGGATCAAATTGATTATCCAGTACAATAGGTACATTTATGACTAAAGGGACTGATTGACCTATTAACTTTAATTAGTTTCCTGTTCTGTGTCATCAGGCTATATAGATGCCTCAATATAGGGCGATTTGGGATGTAATTTTTTTGATGAACATCGCGTTTTTTCTCTTCAGGTATTTCTCAGGCATGAAAGGTAAATGAAATATGATTCGAAAAATGATAGAACCCTATAGGATGCCCTTGTAGTAATCGTATATGAAATAAAATCAGTGAGATAGGGTAGCATTCAAACGAAAATGTACGTTTGATATGATTTCTTTAGAATCCTTCACGGATCCAACTGATTATCCAGTACAATAGGTACATTTATGACTAAAGAGGCTGATCAACCAATTCAATTTGATTAGTTTCTATTATGTATCATCACGCTATATAGATAAGTAGGTACCTACTCGTTTTTTTTTCCATTTTCACTGCAAGTGATCGGCAGTTTAATATATGTCAATTTCTCAAAATGCCTCAACATAGGGCGCTTTGGGATATAATTTTTTTGATGAACATCACAGTTTTTCTCTTCCGGTATTTCTCAGGCATTTGTATCTGTATTTGTGGAGTAGGGAGGGTGAGTATAAACCCACAGCACTTAGGCACATGTGACTCATTGTATATTATTGGCAGGTGTAGGCCAAGGCTCGCCAGAACATACACTCTCTTTGGTAACCTTGAGTGTCTCACGGTGACCTCTGCGAAGGTTTCGGAAGGTGCAGCGATATTACTTCTTCAACCTTCTTTGGGTTCCCTCCGTGGAGGTGCACAAGTGCACTCAAAGAAAAAAAAACACTATTATGATAAAATTTCTCAAAACAGGTCAAATCCAAGGATTATGTGGAAAACACTCAAACAGCTTACTTAGACTAACAGCAATACGTTTACTAATGGTATTTATTTCAAAATGAATGGTCAGTCAGTCATTCATAAAAATAATCTAGACATTGCAGAATCATTTAACAATTATTTTATTGATAGCTCACAAGAAATTGTGAATACTATTGATCAAACTCCCTCGAGAAATTCAAAATGTTGGAGTTCGTAGATTTGTCTAAATTGATCAACGGAGTGGAAATGAAATACAGCAGTGAGATACTTAATTGCAAATTTATTGAAAAAACTTTTGGTGCTATAGGACATGCATTGTTGCATTTTATAAATACATCTCCGAGCACTGGCAGATTCCCGAAGGAGCTCAAGACCAGTGTTCTTGTGCCAATTCAGAAAGTCCCTAACACAAATACATCCTGGGAATTTGGACCAATCAACCCTATGCCTTGTATTGAAAAAATATTAGAACTCGCAGTTTATAATCAACTCATTGAATATCTAGAAAATAATGATATTTTACTAAAATATCAATCAGGTTTCAGAAAACATCATTCATGTGACTCTGCATTACANGTTACTTCTTGTTTATACTTCTTTCGCATACATTTACAATATTTGTCTTTTTGGCCTTCAATGTTTCGGGTTACTCTGCTGTGACTTTTTCTTCACCTTTGTGTACGGCATTTTTCACAGTTCTTATATACTTTTCATCGGTGATATTTCTGCTTCTCCGCATATAAAGCTCCTTCCTTTCCCTTTTTTCTCCTCTGAAAATATCTGCTTTTATTTTCAGTTTTGATAACTTCTTGATTGTCTGTGTAATCTAATGTGGTAACTCCCTCTGGCATAAGTTCGTTCGGTAGTGCGCCCGACTCACGATCGGAAGACCGTGGGTTCGATTCCTGCCCCGACCAGATATTTTTCTCGAGAGAATTTATCTGGTTGAAGCTGGGATGATTCTGCAACCGTGTTAGGAATCACACGTTAAAAGGTAAGACCTCGTTAGTCCTTAGCTCACACAAGTTTCTCAACTTCTGAGAGTTGTCGTTCGTATGGGGGCGACAGCTGATTAGCGGAAAAACAGATTTTGAAGTATCAGTCAGGTTTCAGAAAACACCATTCATGTGAGTCTGCATTACAATTCACAATATCAAAATGGAAAGAAAGATAAGGGACATTATATTATAGCCGTATTTTTAGATCTTAAAAGAGCTTTTGAGACAATTGATCGCCACATATTACTAAATAAACTGCAAAGTATTTGTATCAGGGAAACTGTTTCGTTATGGCCGACTGATTATTTATCACAACTCAAACAGGTAACCAAAATAAAGGATTCAGTGTCATCATCTAGCAATGTCGTTTTCGGGGTACCTCAGGGGAGTGTTTTGGGACCTATATTTCATTCCTATTTTTCTCTTGATTTTGCTTGCAGCAAATTATTCATCATAATATTTGCTTGCTCAGTAATATCCGGTGGGGTAGCACAAATTTCTTGATCACGAGATACTGAATGACAGCTTATAATTGAAACGAGTGGTTGTTGATTCACGGATATAACTCGATTCATTACCAACCCATAAACTGTTGAACAACAAATTTATTGAAAATATGATTTTTATTTTGATGTTACATTCTCATGATTTTTTGAAATTTCTTACGAAAGTGGCCGCCATTAATTTAGAATACACGTGTATTCCTAATGAGCCATTACCTACCTGCTGTCAAATACTTAATGATTAGTTTAAAATCGTGGGAGTAGAAAAATAAGATTTCAACACTTTTTCAATTCCAACGAGTATTTCAACATACTGTATTGTACTGAAATCATTGTAGAACTCTCAAATTTGTAAATCAACAAAAATTCAAAACGTTGATGAAGGCAAATTTGCTGGATTTTAGAACATCAAGTAAATAAACAAAAAAAAATAGTACCAAACTTTCATAGGATTAGACTCGGATTTTATATTAATTTCCCGAAATATTGATAGTGGCCGTTTATGAACAGTTTAGCAAATATATTAATGATATTAATTTACTAATGGACTACCAATCAAGTTTTAGATCAGATCATTCTTGTAAGCCTGCTTTGCAACTGACAATAACAAAGTGGAAGCTTTGATAGACGAAAATAAATTTATAATTGCAATGTTCTTGGACTTTAAACGAGCTTTCGAAACAATAGATTTCGATATCCTATTGATTAAACTGCAGTATTACGGAATTCATGGGAAAGTTCTAAAATGGTTTGATGATTACATGAAAGGTCGTTCTCAAATAACCAAGGTGAATGATGTAATCTCCTGTAAAAAATATAACAACCGGCATTCTCCAGGGCACTGTCCTAGGACCCTTGCTATTCATTCTTTATTTGAATTATATCAATTTTGTTCAAAAGCATGAGTTCATTAATTTGTTTGTTGATGATACAGTCAGTAGCTGTCAACAGTCTGAACCTGGATGAGGCCTTAGAAAAAAATTAACAAATGTTTGGAAATTATCACAAATTTTTTGAATATCAATAAGCTCAAATTGAATACTCTCAAAACCAAGGCCATGATAATAACTTCAAAATACAAATATAGCGTATTGAA